CTGTATATTGATGCATATTACTTAAAATTCAAGATTACAAGTAATTATGCATAAGTACAACTTATTAAAGCTCGATGTTTGAATTCGTATAAATAACTGTGGATAAACATAATCAAATAGAGAATGTACATCTATTTTAAAATATAAAAAATTTAAAATATAATTAGAATAATTATCGAGTTCCAACAAAATAAATAATTATTATCTTTATAAAAAAATTATATTATTAAACCAAATATAAATTACTTTGTTATTGTACATAAATTAAATTATAAAAAAATTGAATTAAAAAATTACACAAAAAAAGAGGAATTTCAAATAGTTAATTTGATTCTAATATCGATATATTTTTGTCAATTTTTTATGATATCTTCAAACATATATTTTATTCAAAAATAAAAACATCATTGCTTTCTCAAAATCACATAAAACCATATTATAACATCGACTGAGATAAAGAATAAAATGAAATATTAAAATCACGACGTATCTTGCTGCATTGCGCGAGTACGCTTCTAGTATTATAAAACATTTGACAAAAACTCTTAAAAACCATTTTTATGCGTAAAGTACCGTTTATTAATGCATAATACTTGAAATCAAGATTGCAAGTACATTTTGTGCGTAAGTACAACTTACTAAAGCTCCATATCTGAATTCGTGTAACTAACTGCAGATAAAAATAATCAAATAGAAGATAAACATTTCACTTTAAATATAAAAAAATTTAATATAATTAAGATAATCATTAAGTTTTAACAGAATCGTTATCTTTATAAAAATTTGATTGTTATATAAAATAAATTACTTCACTTTTTTACCTAAATTAAATTACAATAAAAATTGAATTAAAGAAAATCGTACAAAAAACGAGAACTTTTAAATAGTTAATTTGATATTAATATCGATATATTTTTTCAAAATTTTATGATATCTTCAAATTTATTTTTATTCAAAAGTAAAAACATTATTTTTCTCAAAGCCACATAAACCATAAATTATATCAACAAAGACAAAATAAAATGAATATGTATCTCGCTGCATTGTGCGAGTACCATTCTAGTATATATAGGTACATATATGGTTCTCAATTACACAATACATACACATGTATGTATAGGATTGGGTTTCAACGAGAAGTATAGTTAGGTGAGAAGGATAAAAAGAGATCTTTACCCTTGGATTAATCATAGTTGAATGTCAACACTAGATGCACACGATCAATTCTCTTCTAAAGCACAATTCATTGGTGGACATGAGACTAAAAGTGATAAAAGTTTAGATATCTTCTTACGCTTCTCACTATAACTTTCATTCTCACATGATCATTCGCTTGTATGTATGTATGTATGTATGTATGTATGTATGTATGTATGTATGTATGTATATATATATATATATATATATCCATATATATATGGTTCTCAATTACACAATACATACACATGTAGGGTTGGGTTCATTGTGAGAATGAGAGTTAAGGTGATAAGCGCAATAAGGGATCCCCATCATTGGATGCATAGAGATGCATCGGATCAATCCACTTATCAAACACAATTCATAGGTGAGTTTAAGATTAAAGGTGATAAATGGTCCAGACTCATTATTACACTTCTCACTTTAACTCTCATTCTTACACGATCATTCGCTTACACAATGTGTGTGTGTGTATATACATATACTAGTTTTGTACTTTCGATGTAGTGAAAATATAAATTTTATTTTAAACTGAAATTTCAAAGTTCATAAAGTATTATGAAATATTTAAAAGGATCAATTATTGTATAACGTTTGATATACATACATGATTGGATTCAACTAAACAAAAGGACAAACCCATACAGGACAAATATATGTTTAATGTTTGTTACAACTAAAACGGTTACCCAAAAAGTTATTTGATGATTTTATATATCATATAATAATTATAAATGACATAAATAAAGTAAATATTGATTTTTTTTTAATTTATAAGTATTTTTACACAATTATCATACATACATACATATACACACACACACATATATATATATATATATACATACATACACACGATAAAATCGTACGAGGATAAGAGTTAAAGTGAGAAGCGTAAGAAATAATCTGGACTCTTTATCACTTTCAATCTCACTCTCACCCCATAAATTGCTCTTGATGCGAGACTGATTCGATTCATCTCGGTGCGATGCATATATATAGTATTTTGAATGAAGAGTTTAATATAATTGATTATACCTCGAAAAAACTTGATTCATATAAAGAAAAAACTATATTTTATTTTTGGTTTGTAAAAACCTATAATTTACATGGCGGTGTCTACCAGTCGCCGTTGATGATTGGGTGACGACAACAGGAGGTGATGACTATCAAACAAATACCATATAAGGGTTATATATCAAATAAAAGCAAATTAGTATTTTTTTTTTATAGCTTTTGTCCAATTTTTGTCATCAATTAACTATAATCTAATTACCACATGTAAATTATAGGTTTTTACAGTTTACATAACATATCCCACAAAAGAGCCCACAGCATACACAGGCTCCAACGTAGTTGGAGTAGTTACTATTATTACCATGATGACTGATCATACCGGTGGTGGAGCAGCAAACCGTCGACGTTACCCTCCATTTTTACCGGCGCTGCCATACCACCGCCGGTAGTCGCCGCCTGTTTTAAAGCTTGGACTTGTTTTTTCAAGAATTTCATATAAAGAACCGCCTCCTCCAACATCGACGCCGTGTCCATCTTCGTACCGCCGGGAACTAATCTCTGAAGTATCCTAATCCTCTCGCTAATCCTTTCTCTCCGGTGCCTCGCCGCCACACTCTGCGGATCCTTCGATATCTTCACGTTTCGTCTCTTTGGTGGCTTCACTGATTCCGGATCGATCTGAACCGCCGGCTGCAACGCCGCCATCTGATATATCATCTCCCTCATCGCCTCCATTGAATCCGGCTTATATAAGGTCTTGAATGGCGGTGGTGGTGGTGGTGGAACTGGGTGATGGTAAAAGGAAGGTTGCAGCGGCGATGGTGTGGGGTGGTTGGTGGTGGAGCTTCCGCCGGAGAATTCCATACTTGATGAAGAAGAAAGGTTTTGGAAAGGGATTGAAAATGGGTCAGGAAGGTTGTCGAACTCCATCATTACCGTCATCATCTCCATTTTCAGAAAGGAAAGATGTTAACGGAATTAGGGTTAATATGAGTAAACAATGACAAGGAAGGGTATAAATACAACTTCACCCCTCATATTTTAATCTAATTATATTTGTGCCCCACATTTATTGCTTCTTTAAATATGGGTCCCTTTGTTTGAGTGTTATCTCAATTTTAGAAATTTTTATCCTTAAATTTTCCTCTAAAGTAGAGAAAAAAATTGAAGGGAGAATGGAGAAAAATTCTAAATTTAAAAAAGGACAGAGAAAATATAGAATATTTGTTTAAGGTGTTCTAAGAACCCATAAAATTGTGATAATTTTTAAAATCGATGCATCATTTATTATTTAATATGATTTTTTTATTAATCTGGATATCCAACCTGCTATGCGAGCCGACTAATCCCAGGACGACCATCTGCTTTGCAGATAGCCCGGAATCACCGCATTTGAACCTCCGTGACCACAAAATGGGATTTTTATTCCTTCTTGGATTTGAACCTGGAACCTCCTCGTACTTTTGACCTTTGGAGCCAAACTCAAACCAATCAGGTACCACATTTTCCATATATACAACTTGGATTGGTAATGTATTGATTAACATATTTTTGTTTTATAATATTTTTGTTTCGCATATATTATTTATTTCACAATATGAATATCTTTTATGTGTTTGTGAAAAAAAATACAACTAAAAAGTAAACTTCACATTATAAACTGAATACATATAAAACAAACACATTAGAAGAAATGGTAGTTGCAAATTTTTTATAAAGTATAGTAAAGATATATGCTTGGGTATTTTTGGTATTTAGAAACTTATTCAAAAACACTTTTTACATATAAAACCAAACAAAATTTCTCAATTTTGAAAGACGAACATAACCCATCAATAAGACATTTAGAGTTTTCATTAATAAACAACGTCCAGTTTAATACACCACTCTATATAAATTTGTTAAATTATCTTATAAAAGAATTAATGTTAAATAAATGTATCTGAATATAAGATAAATAACTAAACAAGTTTAAATTTAAAAAATAGTAAGTAACATACTTTAACTTGATTTCTATTTTGGGTAATGTACTTTCAAAACTTTTATTTTGGTACCTAAGATGTAAAATTTTAAACATTTAAGTATCCGGGTAACCGGTTGAAGACTGATTTTAGGTAAAAAAAAAAAAAAAACTAATTATAGATTAAAAAAAATTCATGTCACTAACCACGTTAACAAATAATGTTGAGTTGGATATCACATTACTTGCCACATCAGCATGAAAACTGGTTAATATTTCAACCAGTTACCCGGATACTTAAATGTTTAAAACTTTACATCTTAGGTACCAAAATGAAAGTTTTGAAAGTACGTTACCCAAAATAGGAATCAAGTTAAAGTACATTATTTTTTCATGCAATTTGCGCTTTAAAAAACTCTATATGTAACATTATTATATCATTTTTTTCAATATGAATGCTTGAAGGAAATATTATTTTGAATTTTACATATGTTTAATAATACTTTTGTACAAAGATAATAATGAGAGAAAATATATAAAAACACCATATAATATTTTTATGTATTTTGTGTTTTATACAAAGTTGTAAACTACATAAACAGTCTATGTGTTATGTATTCTAATGGTATCTATTTGGCATTTTTATGACGTTTTGGTTCTTTAAGTTAACACCGTTAACTTAATTCATTAAGCCCCTCGTGTGTTCTTCTTATCAATATCTCTTATTTTATTTTCAAATTAAAATTAAATTAATGTATTATATATACATGATAAATCATGATTATTATAATAAATTTATCCGGTAAAACCCACCCCCTTTCTTCTGACTAAACTCCAACGCAAACGATAATGGCACATCGGGTCACTTCAACGTTTGATGGAGATAAATCTAGGTATGCCATTGAAGACGATGTTCGAGACACATTAATGGAGGTCGTTCATACCTAAAACTCGACTTGACTTTGTGTACACACTGTTGAATACCATTATGAAGATGGCAGGTGAGAGGAATAAGAAAGGATACCGATGAGTGGGGAATGTTTAGGAAGATGGCAGGTGGGAGGAATAAGAAAGGTAAAATGACAAAATTAACCTCCACATGAAAGGCATATGGGTAATTAACGGATTTTAAACTGTGAAAAACACTAAAATAGGGATTATTTCTGTACTTAAATGCTTTTTAGGAATTAAAAACCCACAATTTAAACATAAGGCAAAAACAAAAAAAAAGCAATTTACTCAAAGTTAAAATCAAGAATTGATTGATGAGAGGATGGTGCATGAACAAGAAACCCAAGGGCAAAAGTTGTGGGCAAGATCTCTCTTGAGTAAATGCTAAATTTCAATAATATTTTATTTTTTAAAGAATTAAAAAAAATGTTTATATGCATCTGTCAACAATATTATATAAACACTGATATTTTTGTGGTGGCTTCAGCAAGCATATATAAGAGGTTGTTTGTTTACTTCTTAATAGTTTCATTAAGAGACAATCTCTGAATCGTTAAGAGGTGAATATTGTTTGACAAAAAAAAGTCTGTCTTTTAATGATTCTAAAGCCCTCTGAATGATTTTGTATCATGGGTCTTCCTTAACCATTAAGAGCCCTTATTTTATTGTAAACAATTACCAAACAATTATATTTCATTATGCACTATATTATGAGAGTCTTGTAATCATTCTGACCACTTAATGATTCTACACAAAACCATTCAGCAACTGTCAAACAGCCTATAAGTTTTCAAACAAGAGTATAATAAAAATTAATTATAAAATGTCTTAATTTACAAAAATGACATATAAATGGGTGTTTTTTTTGTTTTGTTATTATCATAAAATTAAAAGAAGAACAAAAAGAATTTGAAGTTTCAATATATGATGTCATATACGATCATATTATAGACTTTAACTACTTGTTCACTGCAAAATACAATTTTCTTTTTGATTTTTATATCAATGGGCCAAAAAAACTAATTTACGTTTTAAAAATAAATGTCTACAATAAAAAATATAAATTTATAACTGTGTAAATATTACAGTTATTAATCAATTGAACGTCAAATTTACATCTGGTAATAGAAGACGTAATAAATTTCTCCTGTTTAAAACAAACAAAAGTAAAATAAATTCTTAATTCTTATATATCATCAAATGTATCAACTTTCATTTCACATATATCAACATCAAGATTTATTTTTTACATTTTTAATGTATAATTTGTATAAATAGAAATACGATATGTAAAAGAAGAGATAGGGGTTGTTTGTTTACCTCTTAATAGTTCCATTAAGAGGCAACCTCTGAATCGTTAAGAGGTGAATCTTGTTTGGTAAAAAAAAGTTTGTCTCTTAATGGTTCTAAAACCTTCTGAATGATTTTGTATCATCAGCCTCCCTTAATTATTAAGAGCCCTAATTTCATTGTACACAATTATCAAACAATTATATTTCATTTTGCACTATATCATGAGAGCTTCTTAATGATTCTGACCATTTAGTCATTCTGCACCAAACCATTTAGCCATTGCCAAACAGCCCCTTAGTCTAAATGCATTCATATATATTGTTAAATACACTTCTACCTACTAATTTTTTTAACGGTTTACATACATCAACAATAAAACTTGCTTTAATTTAATTGATTCCGATATATAAAATGATATATATAACTAGGGCTATAAATGAACCGAATGTTCAGCGAACCGTTCGGCGGATAGTTCGTTTATTTAATAAATGAGCGGACATGAACAAATTTTTTTGTTCGTTTAGTTAAATGAACGAACATGAACAAGAGTCTCGTTCGTTCATTTACCGTTCGTTTATATATTAAAATTTAATATATAATCTTTTGTTTATTTACTTTGAATTCAAATAATATTTATTTATATTCGTTTATCCCGTTCGTTTTACTTTCGTTTAGCATGTTAACGAACAAACATAAACGAACACGAACACACCTGATTTTCGTTCATTTATCGTCCATGTTCGTTCGTTTATTCGGTTAAGTTAAACAAACAAACATGAACAAACCTCCGTTCTTGTTCGTTCCGTTCGTATACGGTCATCTCTATACCAATTTACATAAGAAAATATGGATGTTTATTTAAAAAAAAAAAAAAAAAAGAGATTGAAAAGGCACATGAGATGTGTCAGGAGTGAAGTAAAGCAAAATTTCAGAGGGGAAGATATGGGATGGGTCCCAGTGGGTACACCCCTCGAGGAGCCGGGTGGGATGTATAGAACCAACACCTGCTTCCACCGTCCGACGCCCCCAACTGCCCCCACCATTACTTCTAATATTAAAAATATATGATATCTTTTTATAAGAGTTTTTATTTTTATTTAAATTTAGGAGCCGTTTACTAAATATTTCAGATAAGTATTCATCAACGAGAGTTATTACCCTTACATATTTTGTTGGGAAACGGTTTCGGTCATTAACATGGAGTGTATGGTTATATTGGTAGTTAGTTATCTTTTATCCAGTAAGTGTTTGCTGGGTAAAAGTCTTCTCCTTCACTTTTTCTTTTTGAAGTATATAATATTTATATATGGAAATGCAACAAATAAACTCACACACCCTCCTCACCTATGGTAGGTTACCACTAGGCCAAAGGCTCTTTGGTTTCTCCTTTACTTATCGGATAAGATTTTTTGTCCTTGTCATGTTTACTAGCAAGACAAGTGACACACAGTAAATATTTACCTTATGTCACGTTTGGTTTAAGATTTGAAATTCAATTTCATTCAAACCTGTGTTTGGTTTGAAGTATTGCTTGAATTCGAAATACCACAAATACGGGATTTAAAAGTCCCATGGGGTTTGTTCGTATTTCGTGGATTTCATAGAATTTATGTGTAATAATGTACAAGGCATTGTTTGGCATGTGATGTTCAGTCTTAAATTTGTTGATCGAGTTTTGAAATACATAACAATGGAAGGTTCAGGGGTAAAAAACTTATGGTTGATAGAAAGTGAGGGACCA